AATACCAACTCCTCATTCCATTTAATTCTATATTGATTTTGATCCTGAGAAAGTCACCCTCTCTCAACCTTAAAGGAAGGCAGCATCCAACCTCTTCTGAATAAGTCTTGCCCCAAAAAATTCCACAACATACTATAGGATAGTATCACCATAAATCAAACAACAGCAAATACAACAACAAAGGATAATGCTGGCAGGCCATGTTATTCTAAAAAGGATCATAGCTGGCATAACAACAGGAGGTAATTAAGATTTGGATGATACTTTGTTGTCCTCCAGAAAGCTGGGTGTAGCAGCACTTCCTGGAAGGTGATCTCAATCCTTTAAGAGATGCTGCTACTTCATTGAGTTCTACAGCACAAATCAAGTAAACAAATAAACTTAACACCCAGTGGTGGACAACTGTATAGGGCCACAGTGGCCCCTCAGGGGTATTTCAAGAGCTGCATCCTATCACACACTTTTTCAATGACAGTAAAGTACTTTGTTGTTGTGTGCCTTCAGGCCATTTTTTACCTATGTGACCCTAAAGTGAACTTATCATTGGTTTTCTTGGCAAGTTTTATTCTGAGGATGCTTACTATTGACCTCATCTGGAGCTGAGACAGTGGGCCTTTGCAGACTGCTAGAAATAGTGCAAATTGAGTCCACTTTAACTTGCCTGGCTCAGTGCTAGGGAATCATGGTAATTGTATTTTTTTTTTCTGAGACATTGAGCCTTCTCTGTCAGAGAGCTCTGGTGCCACAATAAACTACCGTTCCCATGATTCCCTAGCACTGAGCACTGAGTCAGGGCAGTTAAAGTGGACTCAATTTGCACTATTTTTTGGCAGTCTGAATGAGTCCCTTGGAGCAATCTCATCCAGTGGGTTTCCATGGGTCAGGGGGATTTTAACCCTGTTCTCCCATAGTTGTAGTCCAACACTCATACCATTACACTATATATAAAGGAACATTGACAGGCTTATTGTCTGAGAGTGACATCCTATTAATGACGTATGCAATTGCCACTTGTGACAAAAGCAGAATATAAATCAAATAAATGAAATGCATAGTTTTTTTGGTAATTGCAGAGATTGGTATCCTCATCTTCCTTCTGCAACATCTAATGCCACACAGACACTTCGACTCACCATTTCACTGTGGTAGTTTGCTGCCATGACCATTCCAATGCTGGTGGAAAACAGATGGGATTGAATAAATATTTGTAATGTTTCCATAGTCAGACACAAACTGATGATATTATCTGCTGAGATCTCTGGAAGACCCTAGAGAATTTTAGAGGGAGATTCCTCTATCTGTGTCTGGTTTGAGGGATCAAGCCAGATACTTCACCTATGCCCCTCTACATGTAGGAGCAATGGATTGCTGAGGTGAAGCTACTGCAACTTAACAATTAGTCCTGGAACTGGTGATAGGGAAACTATAGTGTATTTCTGCATGTGAAACTTTTAAGTTGTGCTCAATCATGCAGTACTTCAACCTGAGTATGTCACCAACAGGATTCTGGCTGTAGAAACACAAGCCTCTTTAAATTATAGTATAGATATAAGTTGCCCAGGAGCAATGCAAGATTATTCTACATACCTTTATGAGCTATTCAGGTGTCAGCAGTGTATGTGGAGTGCAGCACTGAAAGTGAGGGAAGTACTCTGTGATCTACATAATTTATTGCCCACTGTGCCATCCTACAATACTTGATATACTAAGGCCCCCAACTGCTTAGTTTCTAAAGTCATGATTAGACTTTGAAACTGCCAGGCACTGAAGGATTCACTGCTAAAAGCAAAGCAAATTCTAATGTTAACCATACAAAAGCTCAACAGATATTTCAAGGGGGAACAAAAGAGACTTTCATTGCAGTTTCTATAGCTACTTCTCTCAGTATGTATGGGCTCTATTCTGAAATGCCGTCAGTGGAGTAGAAACATTCCATGCAATGTCCTTAAAAGCAATCAGGTAGCAGGTCAAGATAATGCATTCATATAGTGATATTTCCCAAAAAATATCGCAGGCACGCCATTTGTAAGATGTCAAGCAGGCACACCATTAATTCCTCTGTATTCTGTTTTCAGAAATGTAGGCATTGCAGAACATTTTTAAAATATGCTATGTTCACAAAAGTGAGAAATTAGCTGTGCTTCATGTCAGGGGGGGGGGGGAAGTACCACAGAATTGTTTTCCTTCAACAGGTGAAAAGCAAAGTAAAGACTGCCAAAAGAAATAATATGCATTTTTGTAGATTTTTTAAAAAGTATCTAAAAGCAAAAGCACCCTTTTGATATATTTTTCTCTTTTTTTTTTAGGGCAGCCAAACTAAATGGCCAATTAAAGCTACAAGGAAAGAAATGACAACACTAAGGCTTGAGTTACAAGTGAAGCAAAGTATGTGGAAGTTTCTTTTTCTTCCATTCCATCCTGGTTCCTGCTGCTCCTTGAGTTTACACAAGGTGCAAACCTCTGAATGCACTCCTACCCCTGCACCCCCACAAGAACCACTCCACATATTTTTTTTTTCTCTGCAGGGATGTCAGGTAGATTGTCTGTACTATCTGACTGTTCCTGCAGAGTTAGGTGTCTGCCAGCACTAGTTTTGGGGGCCCTGCCACTACCTTTGCCATCGCCAATACTGTACCTTCAAATGTTGGGGCCTTTCCCAGCTGAATGGTTTCCCTCCTCCTCCTTCCATTGGCATGCTTGTCAATCTGAGGCAAATGAAGTATCCAACTTGTATCTGCATGCAGAGCTGGTGGTTGTGTTGGTGATGGTGGAGGCAGAGAGCAGTGGCTGTGGGCAAGCTACAGCAGAGTAACAGGTGACAGAGGAGACAGTAGGGGTGGTAGCAGCGGTGGCAAGGGAGAAAACTCTGGAGTGTAAAAAGTCCACAAAAAGGGAGTATGCTCTAAATCTGGGGTGGATAGACCATATATTATGTAGCTTTATCACACCAGAATCAACAGTAAGGCTGCAGGTCATGTGGCCTTATTGCCACAGATTTGAGGGAAGGGTGGTGTTTTAATGGAGTTTTAAGCAGTGTAGACCAGGGGTAGGCAACCTTTCCCCTTTAAAGGCTGAGGGACTTCAGCTCCCAGAAGCCTCAGCCATGTTGGCCAATAGTCCCATGTTGGCCAATAGCTCCTGGGATTCTGGGAGCTGAAGTCCCTCGGCCCTTAAAGGAGAAAGGTTGCCTACCCCTGGTGTAGACAAAGCCTGAGACTGAAGGGCCCTCCCTAATAACAACATAGGTAGAGGCTGGGCAATTAATGCAACTTGGGTTTAAAAGAGCTATCCAAGGTACTGAAAAAATGCTGAAACTGTCTTCCAAACTGAGTTCAGCACCATGAATAGCTCCTAGAATAGATTATTCAACTGCCCTTGGTCTAAAACAGGGGTAGGCAACCTTTTTGAGATGGGGGCCGGGTTGCTATCCCTCAGACAATTGGGGGGGCTGAAGCACCCAAAATAAATAAATAAATAAATAAATAAATAAATATTAAAATTAAAATTAAAAAAAATTTAAAAAATTAAAAAAATTAAAAATATGCATGCACACTCTCTCAGCCCCAGAAAAGCCATGGCAAAACCCCTGTGGAGATTTTGCCAAGAACAAGTAATAACAACAATAATCAATATCATCATGGCGGGGGGCAGCGATGGCAGGGGGCGGTGGCGGTGGCAGCGGCGGCAGGACCAGCCTTGGGCTGGTTCAAAGGCCTCATGGGGCCGCATCCGGCCCCCGGGCCTTAGGTTGCCTACCCCTGGTCTAAAAGGTTGCTGCTGGTGGTAGGGGAGCTGAACTAAAACTGGGCGAAGGTCTGGGTGATCTTATAGGAAGTCCTTCCTGATTCCATCTTCCAGCAGCTCATTCCATCCCATCTACTCTTTTTTCTCAATCCCTCTCAAACTCAAGAAGTTCTTCCAGGGGTCAAGAAATTTTCTTCTGTGAACTTTCTTCTGTTCACTTATCTTAAGATCCAAGGTTATTTTAATTCAACTGAAATACTGAATAATACAGGGTTATCAGGTTATTAATTAATATTTATTACAACATTAAAGCTGTATTTAACAAAGATTATTCAAGTCAGTTCACAAGGTGGTCAGAAAACTCACTAGATAGCTCACTGAGGATCTAGAGAAGTGGAGAGTAAGGCAAAACACATTCTCCTTAATTAGGATGTTAACTTCTGTGTATGAAATGGTCTGCTTCGAACACCATGTTTGATATGCACACTAAATCCTAAGAAGCAGATGGATTTAATTGGGAAAGAAAACAGGCTTTTGAAGCTACATGAATTAATAATTAGTTTCCGTTTTGAGACTTAACCTTTTAACAAGAAAGTATCTTCACACAGTTACCCTCTTTGTATGCTAACAGATATCCTCAGAACATGTTTAACTTAATTATTTTTTTTTAAAAAAAATGCAATAGAGATGATTGCATTTAGACTTTAAAGAGGTAGATTCTGAAAGGTTTCACTGTTGCTAAACTGTTGTTGAAGCCTCCTAAACATAGTTCCAATAGTCTCATTTTCTTTGTAGAAATATTTGACCAGATTCATTTTCTCCCTGCACAACACCCAAAACACACACACACATACATACACAATCTTAGACTTCCATATATCCAGCATTTTAGGTATTTAAAATGAAATAAAATTATAATACATAAAAGTATAATGCCATATTTATACTGAACTACATAACTATAAATTAAATCACATTTTGACATCTTCCTCTTTTTCTTATTATTGCTTATCTTTTCTTCTCTCCATTAAATATGATATAAAATAAAAATATCAATACCCTTTTACCACAATATCAATGAATGAAGATGCAATAAAATTAAAGACAAAATAAGCACAATGGTACTCAATCATTTTACCTTTGAGACCACCCTCTACATCTACATGTGGACGTTGCACACACAACATGAATGTGAGTCAACATTCAGCAGTAAATCCAGTTGATTCAATCACTGTACTCTAGTTAGCACTCTAGGAGCCAGCATGGCATAGTGGTTTTGGTGCTGGACTATGATTCAGGAAACCAAGGTTTGAATCCTGGCTCAGCCATGTCCACCCACTCAGTGACCTTGGGAAAGTCACACAATCCAGGCCATAGAGGATGGCAGTGATAAACCCTCTCTGAAGAAACTTGCCAAGAAAACCCCATGATAGGTTGGCCTTAAGGTCACCATAACTTGGAAACAACTTCAAGGCAAACACAGCAGTTAGCACACAGTAGGATCTAGGCTTCTGTAAAATGATTACATTTATGGAACTCCACTTATGCAACCATAAACTGAATCCAGCCATTGCACAATGGCCAAAAAGCACAACTGCATATGTAAAGGAACTTAAATATGTATATGACACCAACAGGATTCCAGCCTATATGTGCAAGTAGAATATGTTCTAAGAATATCTAAAAAGACAAGGGGGAGGGATATGAGGTCTTGCAACAGAAGTGTGTTGGATAAGTTGGGGGGAGAACAAGGCACGGCTTATTGGGTCACAGATGAGAAGCAGAGGGTCATGACAAATGTTGAGTATTATGTACTATTATAATTCTAGCTCCCTTCAATTTTGCTTTCTGTTACACATTTTCCATACACATAGTCTTTCCTTTTAAAGATGGAAATTACTTTTGCCACTTTCTGAAATTTGGTACTGTCATTTGCAGTTCTGGCCTTATCCTCACATCTAGATTATATTTCTCTTATTCTTTCATCATTTCCATAGTGATTACAGTTCCAATTATAATTTCCAGCTTTTAGCAGCCTGGACAAATTTCAGTGTTCATTTTCCTTTTATTTACCTCATAGAACTTAGGCTTCTTTTATTATATTTAGAATTCTTAAAGCAGTGACATGCCAAAAAGCTGGAAAGTGGGCAATTATCTTGCCACTCAATGTAGGAGGAAGAAGAACTGTAAAAGTTCCCCCAGTGTGACAAGATGCCTCAACAATACTGAAAGGGTTACTGCAATAGTCTTGGCTTTGTAGCTAAGACTTCCCAGAAGAATACCTATTATTTGGAAAGGTTTTTATGTTACTTGTCAGGACACTCACTTATTTGGAAGTGAATTGAAACCCACCAATCTCTTTTATATGTCCACAATATAGACATTCATCAAACTATGTCTAGTGGTCACTTCTGTGTCTTGTTTCATTTGTCCAAAACTGCAGAAAAATACCTTTTCTCCCTGATTGCTTTGCACACTAGACAGTAACTTAGTCTGCTTAAATATTATAATTTCTGTAGAGTAGGGGCAGGCCATAGTGTCCCTCCTAGTGGTTTTGGCTTAGGATTCCCATGATCCCTAGAGTGTAGCCAATGGTGAGGGATCATGGGAGCTATAGTTCATAAAAAGAAATCTGGATGTCCACAATTCTCCATTCCTCCTCTATGGCCATGGGTGCAACCTTCTATTGATAGCTAACAAGACATTATTCATCTTGCATGCTTACTTTCTAGTAAAGTAAGTACCATTGGGCTATTTCTACATGTGCATACAAGGTGGCTGGACAGTAATATGCAAGCATGTGTCTATTCAATTTCATCTTTAAAGGAAACGTCACAGTTTTTAGGGGGGGGGGAGAAACCCTACATGAGTACCCATGTTGAGGGAAAAAAACCTTCATCTTTCATTGCTGAATGCATGAAGCCCCTCAGTACATTTAAAGGTCAGAACAGATATAAACAGCCTAGACATTGCAGTCCTTACACTTAAAGCTCCAGGGATCCCTGTCTGAAACAGAACAGTGGTAAAATATGAAGTCTTTATTGAACTCATCAACCTACCTTTTCTCCACTCCCATTTTTTATTGCAATCCAAGAAAACAAATATATATTGACTTGCAGATTTAGGAATGCATTGTGTTGGGTTGGACTTGCGTTCCTGTAAGAAAAACTCTGCTCATGAGACACTCTTGCTGGAAGAAGGGAGGGATTTTGCAAGTTCCTCCTCCCCTTAGGCTCTTGTTCCTCCTGAAGATCTGCTCTAGAGAACTGAAGTAGTTCTGGAAAAGTGTGGAAGGTGGCATGGAAGGCTGATGGGGAACTGATCTTTTCCATTGTTTAGTGGAGACACTGGCCAAAATCCTATATCAACCAAGTGGAGTATAGTACTCTGTGTGTTTCCTGTTTTCTCTCTGCCTTGATAGCACTCAGCCCCAGAAGGGGCTGCTTAACAATAAAAAAGACACAGAAAGGGAAAGTAATTCTGACTATGAAAATGTGGATGGTTTGGTCTCTGGGAGCTAGGAGGATAAGGAGGGTATCCTCATAGATTGGATCCTCCTTTCCACCTGGAAACAAGACCAGCTGCATCATCATTGTTGGAATGACCTCCCCTCCCTCTCCCCTCCAACAACAGCACTGGTCCCACAAAGGAGGAGGTTTTGGGTAATGTGCAAAAGGCTGCAGAGGAGCTCCTTGTGCCTTGCCCAAAACCAGACACACACATGCATAAGCCAGACTTGTGAGCATGTGTGTCATTAACAGGATTTTGGGCTTTGTAAGATGGCAGGCCTTTCTGTAAATGGAAGTGGCTAGCTTATGTGGGAGACATCCAGTCCAGCATATTTTAATATGGTGATTCACTTTTTCTTATGTGTGTATAATAAGGATGGAAATATTAAACCTTATTTTCCCTATAAACTCTAATCATCAAATATCCTCTCTTTCATTATTATTAACATCTAAAGAATAACTTCATTTTTCTTCAGAGACATAGCTGTGTTAGTCTGGAATATCAGTATGCAAAGAGATCATGTAACACCTTTGAGACTGCGTGAAAGAAGTTGTAACATAAACTTTCATAGACTTGGTCTATTTACTCATACTACAAGATCCCTTTGCATACATTCATTTTTTTCCTGTTTGACAGGAGATGCCAAATGTTGCAGAGTGAAGAAGATGAGGAGAAACACTTATCTTTCTTTCTTGTCAGGGCACCATAAAGGAAAGTGAAAAGCTGAAGTGGGGAGCATGTGTGTGAAACAGAAAAAGAGAGAGCAAGAAAACAGTCCTTAAAGTCTTATGTGATTCATATTACAATCAAAGCCAGAATACAACATCTGGGCTGCCCCATTTTTGAGCCAAAAATGGGAGTAATTTGGAAATCTACTGACAGGGATATCTGCTTACTGAAAATATATTAACAATAGTAGGTAAAAATTCTAGGAGCCAGATTACTATTCCCCCTTCCCTCATGATTCTGCTTAAGTTCTTGCCTGTTATGCAAACATAAAATTTTACAACACAGGGTGGATCTGCAGTGTACAGGTAGTGCAGTTTGACACCACTTTAACTGCCATGGCTCCATCCTACAGAATCCTGGGATTTTGTGAGGCATCAGAATTCTTTGGCAAAGAAAGCAAAAGACCTTGTGAATCTACAAATCTCAGGATTCCATAGGATGGTGCTGCAGCACCTAAAGTGGGGTCAAGCGGCATTATTTTTATAGTGTACATGCACCCCTAGGCATACCATCATTGGTTGCAGCTTCAGACATCTGCCAACCCATCTGAAAATCAGTTTCCCCACAATTCCTTCACAAGCCACTTTGTATACCATCTGCCAGTATAAAGGGCTGTGAGGGAATGCAGGAACTGCCAAAGTCCTACACAAACACAGTTAATCTTTTAGACCAGGGCTGGGAATCCTGTGGCCCTTCAGATGTTATTGAACTGAGACTCCCAGCAGCCCAAACACAGTGGTGAGGAATGTTGGGAATTGCAGTTTGGCAATGTCTTGAGGGGGTGCTTTAGGCACATCCTTAGGTCCTATATATACTTACTATCCAAAACATTTATTTGGACAGTTTGTTCTAATTCCCAACCTGCTGCCTATCCGTGTGCTGAAGTCATGTTAAATCTAGAAATCATAGCTGTTACGGCCCACAAATACTAGTCAGAACAGTTAGCATTAAAAGCAAGATGACTACAGCTGAAACTACAAGATGATTAAAATTATATGGCATACAGTTCATATAATTAGAGAGAAAACTTCCCTCTAATTGTGTTATAACTCAGAGCGCTATCCATCAGTGCTAAGAATTAGAGTCTTAAATGACATTTTCAGAATTTGTTAGCAGAAAATGAAAGGAGATAATTATACCATGCTGTCCAGGTATATTTAGAATTTATTTTTCCCCCTACAGGCATACAATTTCAGAACAGCAGGCTTGAGTGCTTACTCTCTCACAGATATTTGAGCCCAAACATGATTGTTACTCAGGGATATTGTATCTGACCAGCTCAATTGAGTATGAACAATTAAATGAGTTTAGATACAGGTTCTGCATGCAAAAGCCTACTAATTCTTTCATTGCAAAAATAAGGAATGTGGCAATCATTTATTGGTTATTTTCAACAGTCATTAGTATATATAAGGGCATAACAAATATACTTAATTAAAATACTTTCTATTTGTTTGCATTTGCAACTTAATCTCAGACATTACTATTTATATACTTATCTAGAGTTGCTATATTTCATCAAGTCAGCTTTGACTGATGGTGACCCAATGAGATGCCTGCATGAGCTCCAGGTATCAACAACCTCTGCAGATTACTGAATATTATCATCTTTACCAGAGAATTGTTGTCTCGTGATAGGTCCAAAGTATGATAGCTTCAGTTCGTCATTCTGGCTTCTAGAGAGAGTTCAGGCTTGATTTGCTTTAGGACCTATTTATTTTGGCTGTTTGTTTTTTGTTTTGCTTTTTGGTGGGTCATAGTTTCTACAGAACATCAGCACCACACTTCAAATGACTTGATTTTCTTCCTCCCAGCTTTCTTCACTATCCTCCTTTCACAGCCATCTATAGAAATTCCATATAGAGTGGCATGGATGATTCTCATTTAGGTACTCAAATGATATGACATATACATTTATTAAAGGGAATTATATACTTATTAAAGGAAATAACACTGGGAGCACATGTGATTGTTGACCACCGCAGGCCAATCTCACTGATGCTTAAAACCAGAAAAGCCTAACATTTCTTGCTTGAGAAATCCCATTCAACGTGCAGACATCTCTGTCCCTGAGGAGTTTTAATTGTGT